TTAACTTTTACTGCTAACGGCACATCTGCAGAATCAACGAGGTTAAAACATTCTATTTTCTCCCTTTTCCTCTCAATTCGGTAGTATTGCAATTAGCAATTTCCTGTTCACTGGGAAAATAAATAAGCAATAGTGTTTTATTGCTACACAACACTGATCTCCACACATATTTTTAAACCATTCTCTGATTGTTTTAATAACCATGGGGTCAGTTAAAATGTTTCTTGGAATGAAGAAAATTCATAAATTGCAGAAATATTGTATAATTATGCTTTTAAGCTGTGTGTTCTTCACGGCATGACCTCTGAAAAGTGCCTAGCCTATTATGGTGGCTATTACAATCTATATGATCTTACAAAGTCATCTTTGAATCTAGTACTTGTGGCTTTTACTTCTTCTGGATAAGATTTGAAGAGGTACGCCAACAAAAGCATCAAGGCAAATGACAGATAAAATATCTTAAATGGAAAAAATCCCTTCATTCCCATTTAGTACGGTTTTATGTATGCACTGACTTTTTTTTCCTGACCTGGTAATGAATAAAAGCCAGACAAAAGTACAACAATATTTGTGGGGAAATGAAAATGATAGATCTAATAATTTATGCTTCCCCAGAGGAACACTATTCCCAAATACGTTATGCACACTGAAGTCTTCAGTTACAGTTATTAGACTCAATCCTGCTCCCATTGAAATTAATAGCAAAACTCCCATTGTCTCTCTTGGGAGCAGCATCAAGCCCTTATACAAGAAAATATAAGTACCCTGCCACCCTTCCCCCACAACAGCCACAAACAATAGGCCATAGTCTGGATTATAAATAATTTATATATTAGTATCACTAATTCTATAAGAACAGTCGTTGCTGAGTGACAAGAGAGAGCTTGAGTATCACTAATTCTTTTCGAGAAAGCTGGCTTCCACTCCAGCTGTGTATCCCTAGAACTCAACAGCACTGCACATTCCAAACAGGATTCTGAATATCAGTGTATACAATTCTTCTGCCAGTTTTATGTGATGAGCGGATTCTGAAGTTTGTCAAATATACAAGTGAACAAATATTTTTAATGGTCAATGGGAAATAGATGAATGGAAATATCCCCATGTCAGATGTTTGTTAACACATTAGGATAGAACTATAGAACTGAAAACTGAGTTTGTGATTCATATAAAGAAGTGCTAAATGGGCTTTTTTACTTCAATGGGAACCTTATAAAATCATTGTCACAAGCCATTTTCTGTTTAATTATAATTCTTAATTCTTGTTCAGGGTTTTCAGATACTATATTTCCTCCGTGTCATTTCATATTGGATTTTATACAGCTACCTTGCAGTGCATGGTATTTTACAGACATATAAGAGGACACAGTCCTTCCCCAAATAGAGTTGACATTCTAAACCAGGGGTGGGTAAACTACAGCCCACAGGCCGGATCTGGCCTGTGAGCCATTTTAAGCCGGCCTGCGAGCTGCACCACACAGCTGGGCCCTGCTCCGGTGGCATGGCCCCACTCCTGCTCCTTCGTGCTCCAATGGCCCCCTCCAGCACTCCAACGGCAGCTGCAGGGGTGGTGCCTGCGGATGGGTCAGCGTGCAGAGCCGCCTGACTGCACCTCCGTGTAGGAGCCAGAGAAGGGACAGGCTACTGCTCTCGGGAGCAGCTTGAGGTAAGCGCTGTCAGAGCCTGCACCCCTGAGCCTTTCCCCATGCCCCAACCCCCTGCCTCAGCCCTGATCCCCCTCCCGCTCTCCAGACCACTTGATCCCAGCCCGGAGCACCCTACTGCACCCCAGACCTCCCATCCCCAGCCCCACCCCAGAGCCCACACCCCCTCCCGTACCCCAACTCCATTTTGTGAGCATTCATGGCCTGCCATACAATTTCTATTCCCCGATGTGGCCCTCAGGCCAAAAAGTTTGCCCACCCCTGTTGTAAACTAATATGATGAGAAACAACAATAGACTATGAGAAAGGAAGGGGAGAAACAGGAAACTAGGGAAAAAGTAAAATAGCTCTTGGGAAAAGATTATTTACAAAGAATTCAGCTGCTCTATTTTTGTTTGATGTTCCTATGGGGGAGTGGATACTTGTTTGTTAATAACTAAGGACTTAGACCCTAGAGGCCTGATTCTACTCTCATTGAAGTTAACGGCAACATTCCCCTGGGCATTAGTCATATGGATTTGGCCTCTGATTCAGCAAAGCACTTAGACATATGCTTAATTTAAGTATGAGAGTATTTCCATTGAGTTCAGTGGAACTATCCACAAGTGTAAAGTTAAGCATGTGGGTAAGTCTCTGCCGGATGAGGGCCCTCGCTTTTGCAGTGATGAGCACTATAGATAAACCATAGCTTGCTAGATTAGATTAGTGTTTTAATATAGCCACTGACATAAGAGAGGAACCAGATAACACCAGAGCTGAGATTAACGATCCACAGAATGTAAGATGGGGAAGGTAGAGGAAATGATAACTGATGGAGGCAGGGGCAGAACTACATTGAGCTTTGAAGATGAATGCACGGTCTTTGAGCCTGATGTGTAAAGTGACATGGCTGGAATAGCAGGATAAGATGATGATTTTAGCTTTGGGTAGACTGAAAAAGGGAGGCCATAAAGGAGGAAGTTGCTATAGTCAAGATGAGAGAATTGAGCCATGAACCAGAGTGGTAGCAGTAGATATTGAAGGAAAGGGCTTGACAGTCTTTAGCATCATTATGACACGATTAGTTTCCCAGTGGCCACAGGTTCCAGAGGCTCAAATAAGGATGCTGTAATATGAAGGACAAAAAGATATGACTGAGAAAATGAAGGTCTGTGCTTATGCCAGCTTATCTTCCTAGATAATCTATATGGAGAAAAATACAGGCAACACCTGAAGAACTTTTTCTGTTTAATATAAAATTTAAGTTGGTTTCCATTCTGAAGAATAGTCAAAGCTATAAACAATCACAATGAAACCAGCTGTTGAATGGCTACATTGCATATTTCACAGAGTTGATTGGAAAATCTCAGAGCCTCTTTCTGGACACCTGTTGAGAAGAGTAATTTTAGCCTGCGTGCCCATTTTAAAATGGAAAGAGAAGGCAGAAGAATGTATAATTGTGATTTTTCTCTGGATGGAGGTTGTCAGCAAACTATTTGAAAGTCACTTCATTTGATTAAGTTTTTGGGCTAATAAGATATGTGCCCAAAAAAGGTTTATGGAGGAAAATTAACATTACAATATAAAATGACATTACATTAGTGGTATTTTTGCCCCGAGACCATAGTTCTCCATAAAATGAGAGGTGAATCTGCTATTTCTTCTCAGCACTTTTAGTGAATTATCTACCACTGTATTCAGGAACAAAATGACAAGATTTATTCTACTCTAATATCAATGAATATTAGAAAACAAACTTTAAACAATTAATATTTTCTACCCTACAGTTTTCTCTAGAAAAAAAAAAGTTGCTCAAGAAATATCTATGCTCTCACAAAATCTCAGAGTTTCCACTGTGAGCTTGAAAGAGGTCACAATAGAGCTGAAATAATTGTCATTATTAACTTATGGGGTCACTAATTACCACTACATGCAAAAGAGTTTATTTCTAAGCAAGCAATGTGCCCCTTTTTAGGAAACAATCTGGTAAAAATGTAAAACATGGTGTCTTTTCAGAATTCTTTCCTGGCCCCAGCACTTCATCTTTTCCACTGTTTCACTGGCAGTTATATCCCTTGGCACTGCCAAGTCAGAACTGGTTTCGTGTATTGTTTGTTTTATCCAATTTGTAAACATTTCACAGCTGAACTATGGTACTGATGTAATGTATCTAGTATGCCGGGATGCATCTAAAATCCATTTTGACAAAGTAAAACACTCTACACTTCCTGCAAGAGTCTATACCCTGAGTGTCAAACAAGATAGAGGACCCAGTCAGCTCATATCTATTGAGAGAATCCCAGACTACAATCTCTTGTCGGTGCTAACGGGATTTTTATTACTCCCCTAGTAATCTTTGCATTCAGATCTTAATTGGTATGGTACGTGGAATAGCTTTTGTAATGAGCACATATTCCTTATCCATAAATGATAAAATTGTATAAAGAAAGCTGCTTTAGAAGGATATGGGTTAGTTTTTATTATTCCTTCATTTGACCTAGCTGCTTTTGTCAGTTTTGACATAGACTAATCACTATAAACAATTCCTGCTTAAATTACTTCGCAGTTCAGGAAGCTGAAGGATACATGTTTTGAATAGATTCTCTTGAGCTGTTAGGGGAAAAGGTTTAACTACTGACTGTCTTCTCCATTTTTTTTTTTAAGAAACAATCAGTTAGTGGCATGCAAAAAATTACACAGTTTAAGAACACTCAGGTACTAAAATCATAAGGGCTTTTTAAGAAGGCTCTGATCTGCAACTATCCAAGCAGCAATTTGATATTATACATATCGAAGAAGAAGGAGAAGCACTTAGAACTGTTGTCACAAGGGCAGAACAAAATGTACCAGGTGATACTAGTGTGCTTAGTTATGGAAAAAAACAGAAGAGTAGAAAGCAATAGCTCACAAGAACATACATAATTCAGCCACTGTATGGCTATTTCCTCTGGCTTACTACACAGGCTGTTGTTAGTTTTTATAGCAGTTAAATCTCTGGCTGCTAAGGGACAATAACCACTTTATTATTAAATCTTGGTGTGTCTTCTAACAGAATGAGTTTACAAAAACAAATTTTGAGAGTCTCAATCCATATTCCTTTTTCATGTGATTACTAGCTAGTGTCACTAGTCTTGTTTCAACCAAGTTTCAAAAAATGGTCTGAACAACAGTTTGATTCTCTGCTAAAACAGAAAAAAAAAGACATGCTCAACTTCTTATTTTAGCTATTCTTTACTGAATTTTTCAAATTAGTAGAAGACTAATCACAGAAGGAAAAAAGACAAGCAACTTTCACAGGAAAAAATATAAATCCCATCTTACAAAGATAATGTATTGGAGTAGTTAGTTCATTCTTACCTGACAACAGTAGGAACCTGGGAATGTATTCTACAATGTCAGTTTGTTCTTGGTAGATCACAGCAACTTGCTCCACACTACCCAGGCAGATTTAAGACCTAGAAAAGTATCCAGTGCAGAAGCACCCACAGAGATAAGGTTTTTCCACTCTTCTAGGTCTACCAGCAGCTGAAGTAATGCAGAAAATAGGGTAGAGAGCAGAAGAGGAATGTAGTTTCTCCTCACAGAAATCCCAGTCAGGAGAAATAGGAGGTATGCTCTGTCTGTCTCACACCCAGACTTTTGTTTAAAAAGTTTTTCAACTGTTGCTAGGTGGTGTTAGGCTTTGGCAGTTTAGTTCTGAGATTGTATTTCCCCTCTTCTGCTCTCTTCACACACTGTTACAGCAATGACTTTGTTGAGCTCAGCTTGCTTGTTCTATATTTAACCAGTGTTCTCAGCAAGTCAAGCCTGTCAACAGCTGAGAAGTTTGAAGCATGTTTTACTGAGTTCCTCAGCTGCTGAGTTATCAGTGGATGTAGAACTGCATCTCCTGACAACTACATTAATGAAAAATTGTGGAGAAACTGTCAAATCTTTTTAAGGCCTTCCAGTGACTTCACTGGAGTAATTACTATTTTAAGCAATACATAGAAGTTCTGTATTTGGGAATATATTTTAGAATGTTAGAAAGATACTTGTGTTGATACTCGTATTAACATCAAATCAATGTACACAGTAAGGCGTTTAATAAAACCTAGGATGTTTGTAATTTGAAAGGTATTCCCAGCCCTTGCAAAAAATAAATAAATCACACATTGGGAAAACATTTTAAAATATGTTTATTCTGAGTAAATGAGTAAACCATTTTCTGTTTGCACAGTTCAAACGTATCAAGCTGGCATGGAGATATAATGAAAGGCTTAGCTAGAAAGTGTTCAGAGTAATTTTTATTATGAATAAGACAGTATCAACTGTCTTCTTCCACTTGGACATTGCTGTTGTGATCCATCCCTTCATTACTTCCACATTTGAGTATGTCAGCTCTCACTAGCTAGGGATGAAGGTGAAATCCAGGAAAACTCCAATTTGTGCAACACACAACAGGCAAGAAAGAATCAGGAACACATCACACTAGTACTCTGCCCACTACACTGTCTCCGCATGTGCTTCTGGATCTAAATCATTGTCCTAGTTCTTAAAGTCCCTTAACAACTTGAAGCCTGACAACTTTAGAGACTGCCTCTTTATCTACAAACCATTGAGAGAACTACACTGTCCAGCGAAGGGAAGCTGCAGTTGACGGAGTCCAGAGCAATGCATAGTTCTCCAGTGCTGGAGTGACATTCTCTGCAAATGGCCCCTGGCAGTAAAACTCTTAACCACAGGAGTTCAGCCTGAGCCCAGCCTGTTTTTAGAACACATTCGTCTCTTCCCAAAAGCCTTTCCCCAGGAACCTTCCCTGGCATCTTTCCTTGTGGTCTGAGGAGGGAGAGAGAAGGAACAAAGAATAGAGTGGAGAATAAAGGAGAAAGACATACTGGGAAAAATACTGATAATTTATCATTGATTTGTTTCTGGTAGTACCTCCTATGTGCTAATCAGTTTCCAGACAAGTGAGGCAAAAGAAAGGAATAGTTCCAGCTCATGATCTAAGGAGTCAGACAGACAAGTCGACAAGACTGAGGGGTGACATGATAACAGTCATCAAGTATGTAAAAGATTATTATAAAAAGGGGGGTGATCAATTGTTCTTCTTAACCCCTGAGGACAGGTCAAAAAATAAGGGGCTTAAATTGTAGCAAGGGAGATTGAGGTTAAACATTAGGAAAAATGTAACTCTACGGATAAACACTGGAACAAATTACCTAGGAAGGTTGTGGAATGTCCATCATTGGAGGTTTTTAAGAACAAGTTAGACAAATACCTGTCAGGGATGCGGTCTAGATAACGCTTGTGTCATCTAATCCACTCCCCTGCACCAAAGCAGAACTATGAAGGTCCCTTCTACTCCTGCATCTGTGATTCTATGATTATTACCCTTAGCTTGTGTTCTTGGTGCTTAGACCTCATGTTGATGGATTATAAATACTCTCTATGCTTAATGTGTCAAGTAGACTTTATTTTGGTGACCTAGTAAGAGCTAATACTTTCTCATTGTATATTTAAATATTTGGCTTGGGTAGAGGAATAATAAGATTAGAATATAGCTAAGAATTTTTATAAACACAGAGATCACTGGTTGGTGGAATTAATCTAAGTATTAGAAGACACAGAAGTCAGGAAATTGAGTCCTATTCAAAGCCCAGTGTCATGTAGTCACTCTTTGAACTTTGACATGTCCATACAGCAACATTTTTAAAAAAGCCTCAAATTTTGAGTGCCTCAGAGTTAAAATTGAGTTACCTAAAATCACCGGCCACTTTTAAAAAGATTTTAGCCTTAACTTCCCTGTTAATGGATACACTACTGCCAATATTGCACTAACTACAATAAAGTTCAAGAAAATACTCAAACACTGAATTCTTAAGAAAATTCAACTTTCACTCACCCCATCCACTTTAGGAGGTGCTACAATATGGGAGACCAAATACAATCACTCAGGCCAGTGGTTTGTAACCTGTGATGACAATCTTCTGATGAAGTAAATCTACTCAGCCTTGTGCAACTGCAACCTCAGCAGCCAGAAATACACCATAAAGTAGTGTGCGATTCCTGTAGGGCTTCCTATGAAGCCATACAGGAATTTGTGCCTCATTTGCAGTACTATGGAAATTTAAACAAAGGAGTCTGAAGCAAACATGAAGATGGGTTGCAAATGAATGATTATGGTATAGGTTCATAATATGAAACAAAGAAAAGCTGAGCACCTCCTACCTAAGTACACTGGGATATAAAGGAAGTATTTGTTTGCATTTGTGGAGTTATCAGACCCACAACCACATGAAAAGTTTGACCATATGGAAGCTGTTTTCTGTTTATTTCCAATTATTTATTTTATGGGGAAAATGTTTATAAATGGATAGAGAGAACAGCAGCAAAACAAGCTACCAAAGGTAATAGTGAAAGTGACCTCCTGGCTGATCTACTAGCCCCACACTAACTGAAGGTAATAATATCTCCTAAACTAGCAGCACCACCACTTTCTACGAGAGCTTTCTTCTCAGGAAAACAGGAATCAGAAAGGGATAAGCACTGCTGCTACAAAGCTTGCAATGGCAGTTAAAGACATGGCAGTTATTGCAATAGCAACACTAGAGGCAGGGGCCCATGCTGCGTCAACAAAACTTGCTGTACCATTATCTTCTCCACCTTCCTTATAGTAAATACCATTATCTTCTCCACCTTCCTTATAGTAAACACCTTAACTTTCTCAGAGATTGAGCTTTATAAGAAGTTGGTCACCGTCTACAAATACCTACATGGGGAAGATATTTCTGATAATATAGGGCTCTTTAATCTAGCAGACAGCCATAATTAATGCAATATTTGGAAGCTGAAACTAGACAAATTCAGACTAGAAAAAAGATACACATTTTTAGTAGTGAAAGTAATTAATTATTGGAACAACTTACTTAGGAACATAGTGGAATCTCATCACTTGAAGTCTTTAAGTCAAGATTGAATGTCTTTCTGAAACATAAGCTCCAGCTCAGTGCTTCTCAACTGGTGGGTTTTGACTCCTAACGGGGCCCATGAAAGGCAAATGGGGTGGCTGTAAGGTGTTGATAATTTCATAATAATTAAAGCAAAAAAATCATACTCCCTCACTTCCCACTCACTTGGCTCCTTCATGGTTAAGTATTATCTGTCATCCACTTGATACACACACACATTATATCTGTGTATCAGTATTAGCATTGATAAATTGTTTAACTCTTACTTTAACAGTAAATGTAAAAGGATCATGAATTTTTTTTTATTTCAAATAAGGGGTTATCAACCTGAAAAGACTGAAAAACACTGCTATAGCTCAAACAGAAGTTATGGGCTTGATGCAGAAATTACTGGGCGAATTACTAAGGCTTGTTTTAAGCAGGAGGTCAGGCTAGATAGTAAAAATGGTCTCTTGTGGCCTTAAAAATATCTATGAATCTATGTAATGTTATTTTAGAAGGCAGAATATAGAATAGGGATTTTATTATCATCTTATCTGCCGATCACTTTGGTATCTGAGCATATCTTATTTCCTGCAGCAATGAGGGTTCCTAGCATGTAGTCTTTATTTCTTGTTGCTGTTTAAATATTTGGCTCTTTTGCATAAGAAATATGTATAGCTTTATTTCCCTGTGTGTCCTGTGGGAATCCCATTAATGACACTATGGTATTAGTAAACATTTACTTTAGTGCTGTGATTTACAGAAGGGTGAGAGGAGTGCAACATTTTGTTCCTTCTGCAAGTTAGTCAAACTAAAATTGAGATCTAGTACTTTGTGGTCCTCAATTTTTGTGACTGTGAGCAATAGGACTCATAGGAATAAAAAGCATGTTGTTATTTTAGGTTCTGCTACTGCCTTTGGCTCTCTCTTGGCTTCTTTATATCCCTGGCTTATAAGAAGCTATAAGAAGTTGGGTTTTGGTCATGTTTGGATCAGTGTTGTCTTGGCTCTTGCCTGTCAATTCCGTATTTTGAGAGGGTGGATATCTTTTTTCATTTTTGGGGTACTGTTATTACCTCATAAATGCTGATATTGCTTTCTAGATACTGGATCTGCCATATTCCCAGCCCACCCAGAAACACGCTTTCTCAGTATCAAAAAATGAAACACATCTTTACCTTTTAGCTCACAGAAATAATTTAGTTGCCTAATCTATAATCCTGCCAAATTCACGGAAGTCAATAAAATTGTGTAAGACTTCACAATGCAAAGATTTTTCCTAAATTATGTGAATTATTGTGCAGGAAACAAAGTGAAAAAATACACGTAATCAATTCTACTAACGGTTTTCATATTTTTGTTTCTCTGTACATTAGCTCTCCTTATTCTGATAAAATACGTGCCTTTTAATCTAAGTTACCAATGGTATATATGTGAACTACATGCAGGGATTCAGTCACTCAGGTGCCTTATCAAAAATAAACTTCCTGATGCTCCTAAGTAATAAATCCAAACTTCTGAGAACAGGAACACTGAGTGCAATTTTATGGTCCTTGCGGTACTTTTTTTTTGGATACTTTAAGCAATGAGTTTTAAATAGTGAATCTTCCATTTCCTTCTTTCACAGAGTATCCTGAGCCATATTCTGCCTTTAACTGTGCCAAAGCTATTTTGGATTGTTGTGTTACTTAAGTGAAAGATATGTTGTAAGGCTCTGTCATTTCAGTTATTCAAAACTAGTATTTTACCTTAGATATTTTAGCATTTAGCCAACAAAAATATAGCATTTAGAGGGACCTC